TGAGGGTGATTACAGTGAACATGCTAATCACCCTCAGCAGCCACTCGTAAACAATTCCTCAATAGAAGGAAAAAGCCCTGCCTAACCCCCAGGAAGATACACACATATTCTGACACCAAAATAAGCAGCCACTCATTTCAATCTGGGAAGATTCTTGCTAGAGGTTGTAGCTAATAAACATAGCTGAACTGATTTTGCATTGTCCCTTGGAGTTCCTTGGGCTAGGCCTGACATCAATCTTCCCAGACTGAAACTCCAGATCCCAAAGCCAGCCACAACAGTGTGAACTCCTCAGGGAGGTGCCAGTCTCATCCTCTTGTAGTTCCTACGCTCCTGCGGTGAGCTAAGGAAATGCTTATCTCCCTGAGCCTGGCCTTCATAATTCCATTCCATCACATATATAAGGTTAAAATAGTATTTACCAGTCTAGGTACCTTTCAGATATAGTGATTTTTTACCTTCCAGCATTCACAGCAATGGCCATGCTTTCTGGGGAATTCTGGGAATTAATGTCCGCACATTTGGAGGACATCTAAACTGGAAGTCTGATTTAGAATATCATCTTATCTGAAATAAATATATTTAATTTGCACTTTTTGTGCTTATGGTATTATTCCTCCATGAAATGTGAAGAAAAGAGATGTTCTTGGCTGACCTAGAAAAATACTGTCTTGGTTCTATTCCACTTAGCAGATACTGGAACTACAACTGGCTATGTCTGTGGTTTTTTAATTTGTTAATTAATGGAAAAAAGCAGATTTAAAAAAAGAAAAGCACTAGACATATTTTCAAAGTCTTTGCCTTTTATATAATAACTGTTTCCTGTACATGGGTTTTCTAAAACTATATTATAAATATGGCTATATTACTGAAATTATAGTTAATTTGATTTTTATTTTAAAATATCAGCTGATTCTAGTTTGTTCTTACAGTACTTATTACATGATTATTGATTACATTATATACATTAATTACATGATTATATACATGAAACCATTAAAAGGATTAAGACTATAGACTCCCCTACTCCCCTACTGTAAGTAAGGCCCATTGAACACAGTAAAATTTACTTCTGAGTAAAAAAACATAATAAGCTTGCTAAATGTTCTGTTTTCAAAATGCAGGCCCACCATTGTTCATAGATTCTTGATTAAAGCAACAATAGAAGAACGTATGCAGACAATGATGAAAACTGTAGAAAGAAGGTGGGTAGAAGGTGATAATCAAATTATTATTCAAATGTGCTGCAACTCTGTACACACATATATAGGAGTAAGTTCCATAGAATTAAGCAGAAGTTATCCTGAGTTCACATATATAGAATTATGACATTAGAAATCAGAAATCAGCATTATGATGTAAAAAGGGAGAGGCTTTATCCAAGGACTCTCAACTGCAGGCATTTTCAAATTGCAGTGAATATTCTTGCCACAGAAAGAATCTGAAGCATAATAAAAGTCAAGTGAAAATGTCTCAGACCACTATAGCAAATAAGAACAACTGGACTTTGCTATATCTAATGTTTTGGGAAAGTCCCTATGAATCACTTTTGTATTTTAGACTCTTCATCAAGCTATTGGAATTGAGTCAGTTCCTGAAATTGATCTTGATCTACTTTCCAGACCAAAAAAAAAAACCTGGTAAATCAGTTGTCTCATTTTTAAATTTTTAAACAGCTAGATTCCCAAGAAGCATACAAGATTGTGTGCATAGTAAATCCATATAAATCAGTGCAGGTTCATTGGTTATTTGTTTATGGTGAATAGCTATTAGAACATCTTTTTGGCCATTTGCAAACACAATTTTTGTAAGTCTGCTTTTAAAATACAAAAGAATTATGTTTGGTTACTGACCAGCTGGTATGGCTTATGTAACATATTGAAATTAAATCTAAACTTTTTTTATTCTCTTCGGTTGAAGAAGAGATCCATTTTTGTTACATAACTTTTTGTATAGACATTTTTACATATGAAGTGGTAGCAATTTACTACATAATTTCTAATTATGTGAATCATTTTACTGAACATTGAAATAAAACACGCTTAGAAAGGAGCTTACTATTTCAAACATAAATACCATTGTAAATCATCTTGGGAAATATTTAAAATTATCAGCCATGATTTTGTACTCCTTTGAAATAAACTGTCCTTGGGAAACTGCCTTTTCCTCAGTGATCATTATAAAATAAATCTCTAGTGCAGAGCCATGAGTGTACACTCTGTTTCTCAATTATCTTGATTTGTTCTCTTCCTCTTTTCTGTTTTGTTTCCAAAGTCACTCTAATTCTTCCATGAAACAGTCGGAGGCCTCTGTGTTAACTGTAGCTGATTTGGCAGATCTTTTCTCAGAAGAAACTGAAGAACTTGAATGAAACAATCTATTTCAGATTCACTGAGGTTGGAAGGGGGCCATGACCTATCTGATTTCTAAGTAACACAATAATATGAGTTAACTTTCAGGAATTCCTGTACATGTCACCAACTACTCATTCATTTTAGGATGATGTATTGGTAAATAATTTTGGTTCTGTGATTGTGAATTACTTCAGAATATTATTTTGGTTAATCAAAATGCACTTTATTTAGAAATTAATAAACTATAACTTTGTACTTCCAAAGAACCTAAGCACCATAATCCACCTTGAATTGTGCATAAAATTGTTATTTCAGTGTAGTTTGTTACATCAGAAAATTTATATGCACATCCAGTTGAAACCAGTGGGAGCAAATAGATGGCATCCATGTTCGGTTCCATATATGATTTAGGCCTAGAATTCCTGAACTAAGAGAATTAAATAAGAGACACATATGGTTGTTCTTTGCTGGATCAAGGTGTTCAGCTAAACACTGAAGGAATAATAATTTGTATGGCAAGAAGGACATAATGAATCAAGTATTGTCTCCATTTTATTTTTGCAGTTAATTATTAAAATAAGTTTCAAAATAAGCTGTTACATTTTTGAAAGGACTTCTAGCGGTGCTCCCATGTTATCATGCAAGTAGCAGTTTATCAGTTAACCTTAACCTGCAAATTTTTAGAAACCATTTTAGTTTTGTAATGGTATTTATGCTATGATATTCCAATTTAAATTTTTGTTTTTTCTTGTTTACATGTTTGCTGTTAATATGTGCTATTCTCTTTGTAAATTATGTCTTTTGTATGATCTGTCTTAAAATGATAGCTAAACACATCTGTTTATCAGATTTTTAAAGATTCTTAAAATTGTATTGTTTTGTTTAAAATTTGGGTATTTGTATTCTGTTAAAAATGGTAACACTTCCTCTTACATTTAACTTTGATATGACTGTGAACAAAGTATGACAAACTTGTAAATTACTAATTTTGTTGTATTGCTTGTTCATTTTTAATAGCAAAATACTAGTAATTAATATTAGACATAAAAAATTAAATGTATCCAAACAGTGGTGAATTTAATAGTAGTTAAACTAATCTTGCTGAGATTTTATATGAATTTCTTAGATAGTATCTGTATAGAATGATCATTAAAATTGATGGCTAGAGATAGGGAAAGACTAGGATGCAGATTTAAAGTAATATTTCAAGGCTGAAAGTTTCATTGTGGATATTTTATGTTGCCAACCTTCCTTCCCGAGCATTACCCCTCTCCCACCTTTATATTTATTATGTATTACTAACTTGGAGGCCTATTTTTAAGTAAAGGCAACAGCAAACACATATGCAGGTGTACATAGAAAGAATGTTTTATACCAAGTTCAGTCCCACCTTCATTTTCTTACAAGTTTACCTAATCAAGCTCAGTATGTTACAGGTAGTCCTTGGGTTACATCCATTTGTTCAGTGACCATTCAGAGTTATGAAGGCAGTGAAAAAATGGACTTACAATTGGTCCTCGAAGTTCTGGCCATTGCAGCATCCCTGTGGTCACGTGATCGCAAACCGGGCACTTGGTGACCAGCCCGCATTTACAACTGCTGTCACCACCCCCAGCTGACCTTCATCTTCTTTGCCTACCTCCCTTCTGTTGGGATCGCCAACACTGGCTGGCCTCAAGCCCTACGGTACGGGGCTTCGTTGGCCATGCTGTGCAGGGCACCTTCGCTGCTGCCTGCCTTTCCAGCTGCCTTGCCATGCGGGAAGCCCTCAGCCAAGTAGTTGCCAGGAATTACCAGTAGGTATCCTGGCCATGTGTGGGGGAGGCACTGTGGAATTGTCCCAACTTCACCGATCAGTGTGAGGATCACCTGGTCGGCAGTGGCATGCAATGTGATGCGATGGACTCGCAGCTTTGGCCCTTTCCCTTCCTGGCAGAGCAGTGGCACCTGCCCACACTCCCCACCACCTGCCTGCAGCACCTGCCTGTGCTTCCTAGTGCCTGTGCATGGCATTTGCCCCCACTTATCCTCCTTAGTGCCCACCCACGGCACCCATTCCCTAGTGCCTGCCCACCCGTAGCTCTCATCTGCTGGCCTGCTTGCCTGGGACTCCCGTCTCTTCCCATGTTGTAGTCATGTGAGGTCCTCACTTAATGACCTACCTGGTCCTGGACTTATGACTAACTGGGACTGCCATTGCTAAGCAATGCGGTCACATGACATCACGCTTTACTACCGCATTGCTTAGCGACAGAAATTCTGGTCCCAATTGCCATCATAACCCGAGGACTACCTGTATGATGTTAAGACCCAGACATGATAGCAAAAGGTTTTCACAACTTTATACCTTTAGGATTTTTGGAACAGGAAGGCTGGGTTTTTGCTTCCCCTTTATGCAGAAAATTGGACAGTGTGCATGTATTAATACAACATATTGAGAAAAGCCAAATATATTGAAAAAATAATAGAGCAGATATAACTGATTTGCATTTTTAGATTTGGAACCTTGAACATCATTTGATTCAGCCACCTTTGCAAAATTTGATTTGGTTGAATCATTTACTCTTGCACATAGTAAGTAATTCCTATCTTTTAACATGGGAATAAGTAATTTAACTACCAGGTTTGATAGGAAGACAAAAAATAGATGGCAAATCTGAGTTCTCCCACACTGTCAATAATTGAATCTTCCTATTTTTGGAAATGTATTCTGAGACTTAATGGGAACTGTCCTTGGTTTAGGGTTGGAGTAGAGATTCCTTGGGGCTTAGTGGCTTGGCAGTGTGTCCTTGGTTGCTGGAACTAGGGTTTGTGCTTGGATGGTATGTAAACATGATTTTATTGTAACTAACTTTCACTGCTTATTTTTAATTAAACTTTTTAAGTATCAGTTTAATTTTTTTTAAAAAAAATACCTTTTATCATTTAGAGCAGGTAAGATATACAAAAACCTGGAAATAACAGGCACTTTCTCCATCAAACAAGCAATGTTTCTGTGTTTCTCATTTATCTAAATTGCAAGCTTGTTGGGTCAGTTGTGACAAAAGTTTCTACCATTTCAGGCAGTCTGGAGACTTGGCCGGCAAAGCATCTCTGTCAGGAGAACCAGCTTTTTTCTTCCTTTTTTGGTTGCCTGGAACATAAAAGTTGTTTACGAGAATTGTCATGTACTATTAACAGAAGCTAAAGAAATACCAT